TCACTGTTCCCTAGCAATTCACCCCTAATTCGAGTATCTGATTAGGGGTGAATTGCTAGGGAATTCGAGTTTTTTGTGTTAACTTTATTTATTAAATATCATGTTCTTCGCACTTTAAAATTTAGTTTAGCACATACAAAATTTAGTTCATACGGCAAAATAATTTTAAAGTGAGCATATCTTTAGAATTCCCGATACACTGTCTCGCTTTCTGGAGATAAAATTGCTTTTTCCCTACAGCGTTGCTGAACACTGGTAGTTCGGTCCGAGGTTCGAATCCCGCGAACGGGCTGGCTGCATGGGCGTTTTCGTGGTTTTCCCCATGTGTAACGTGTATACGAGCCAGTTTCCCTTAGAAAGTCCTCCACGAAGGCACTCCTCCTCTTAGGCAGATAGCCCGCGAGGCTTTGCCATAATCACACACACACCCTACAGCGTTGCCATTGCTCGCTTTTAAATCGTTGAGTTTGTTAAAAAAAGAATTCATTAAAGTTTTATAAAATATGAAATACATAATAAAAAATTCCAAATTCCAGATTTGGGCTTCCAGATGCTCATATTCTGATGAAAACGTATGTTGTTCAAAATTTTAGGGCTCTAGGTATCGTTGATTTATCACAATGCGAGAAACATATACACATTTATGCAGATTCTTCATTATTTTCTTTAAGTGTAATAGAGGACGATAATATTTGGTGGCGACAATTTGAAAAGTGAACCAACATTTATAGTGAATCAACGCAAAATGGCAAAACGAAATTAACAGCCCTTCTGGCCTAACGCTTTTTGGGCTAATAAAACTTTTAAAAGATTAAAAATATTTCTATTTTTAGTTTGACGAGTAGTCTACCTCAGCTTTCGTAAGTATGACTGTCGTAAATAATTCATTTATTTAGGATTAAAATATTTAAAAAACGTAGATAAATATTTTCTGAAGTTTTAGTATGAAACACACTTCGAAATTTCCGATACTAAAATTTAAATATTAATTTCATTGCCTGAAAATCTTTACTTAACTTGCTCTGAGCGGTTATTCTAATGAATTACATTAAATGAGCCACTCTAACTGCTATTAGCTTTACGAGAAATGTAGATTTTACAGCTGAAAGTTTAAATCAAAGCCAAATTTATTAAATTGTAAATTTACTAAACCTATTTGGAGCATATATCTGTAGAATCTTAAAGATAAAAAATTTGCAATTCTACGAGTAGTATAGCTAGCCTTTCACACCTTCCATGTTTATGGATAAAATTTCCCAATTAAACTACAACTTAGTGAATTTTGCACATGTAGAGAATGATAATGCGGTTACAAAATGACGAACTAGTTGCGACTACTTTATATTCTATACTTATATTTCTGGGAAAAAATAACGAACAAAATTCATGTTTAATATTATACTTTTTATAATTTTGTTCTTTTTCTTATCTGAACTAAAGTAGAGAATTAGATTTCTTTATAAATCTTAATATTTTTATCACGTCCTTAGGATACATGGATAAAACTATCAATTTCATAACGTTCCAGTTAATTACTGCATAATAAATCTCATGCTGACTGATATTAAGGAGAGAAAACGTTATTGTTTTGACTATGCGACGGGATAGAAGTCTAGAAAATGTTTGTAGCCAAAGTATACTTTTTATGCTCTGTCATATACGATAGGATATTCTATTTATTTTCACATGGCTAAACAGCAATAGGAATATTACAATTAGACAAATGAACAGTCGAATCCATCGCCTGAGTAACCAAGAGTACATACTATTCCGAATAAATATTTCTCATTATTTAAAAGCAATTTTTAATATTATATTTGCATACTTATTTATTTTTGATTAATTACACATTTCACACTACAAAAGAAAAACTATAATTCTGAAATTCAGATATTTCATTTAATTAAATATAAATAAACAAATTCAATTAATATATTTAAATATTATACATTTCCCGAAAGAAACAATAAATAAACTCGTTGATATATCACAATGAAACATTCTGTATTTTATACATATTTTCAGTTACCAGTAAGAGATCACAAGTATTAATTGAATTTTTTTTTATTGGAATTAATATTATTTTTTTTCAAAAGTCTTATATTTTATTTAAAAATTATTTTATATTTAAACATATAGTACACATAAACAGCAATTTGTGGTGCAACAGAAATCTTTTAATTTAGCTTCTTTGATGATATCTAATTGCTTTTGTATTTACTAACACACTGAATACCTGCGATACCTGCGATTCATTTATAAAATGTGCAGATTGTTGATTTACATTCGGAACCAAACGATTTATGCCCATACATGAATTTATGCAAAAGTATTGATAAATCAAAATGAAATTTTTTTCAGGTATCTTTGCGATACGATAAAAATATTGTATCGTAATACTATCGATATTGTAACGAAGATGTTTTCAATAACTTTCTCCTTGAGTGTTTGGCAGATAAAATTCCGTATGAGGTACATTATTTGCATATTCCAAACAAGTTACAATATCATTTCAAATTTATGCCATTTTTCAGATATGAGTAGTGAACAATAATTGCTTTTAGTATAATTTAAAAATTTCAACTCTTATAAATTAGCATAATCACCGTTAGAAATAAAACACTTTATCTTTAATAGTGTCTTTTTAATCCGATAGAAATCAGTCAGAAAAATGTACAAAATATAAATGCACAAAATTAAGAGTAGATTAAATTAAATTCACGTAATAAATTTCAGGTTCTTTCCTTCCAAAAAAAAAAAAAATATATATTTGAGATTCAAAATCTGTGTACGCTTCACAGCTTTTTAGTCTTCAAGAACGATTATTTTTCACTGTGTATAAATGTTCTAATTTCCCTAAATACAAAGCAACCACAGTCAGTTTTTGCCAAAAACATTGTTATTAGAATTAAAAATTGCTTTTAACAAAACTTGGTAGTCGTTACATCCTTTTATCCATCTTGCTTTGAATGCTATCCCCAGCTTTTAATTTTTGCAGCGCCTAGGCGCTTGTAAAATTAAAAATCATTTGGGACCATAAGTTATAGCATAATTCCTAAAAGGCATGTTTGAGTATAATCTGTTTATGCATATCTAAATCTTAACAGGAAAGTGTATGGGCCTCCAAAAGAAAATATTTGTTCAAAATACGATTGTTAGTAATATTGCCGGAAACATTTTTTTAATTCATTTTGGATTGCTTCTAATGCAGAAAATTATCTTTTAAAAAGATTTCGTTAACTTTAATCAAGAAACACAAAGACAAAAATAATGGAAAAAAATGGATACAAATATTACTTTAAAAAGAAGAGCATTGGCGTTCAAAATAAAGAACTTAGCATTCAGGCGATTTTCTAGAATGGTACTGAACGAAAAAAATAAATAATGCTTCCAGAATATGCGAAACTCAGCGTTTTCGTGAGAGTGTTATCCACTGCCACAGAGTCTCATAAGTTGCCTATTTCCAGCATTAAGTTACGCTGTGAGATAAGTATGACTCTTGCATGAAACAATTGCACACATTGCACATGAAAGGAAACTTATTGGTCTCATAACTATTGCATGGTATACTTTTTATTTATATTACCAACCTATGAAGCTATAATTTCCTTAACATTTGTCCATTAGTTCAGGATATAATTGATCAAATGTAAATATTACCTTTAAACATCAGTATTTTGTAATTGTTTATAAGCAGATCATAACTGAAATGTTTTTCCTTCAAATATTAGAAAATGAGCATAAGGGGAAAATGCATATATTTCAAGGGGAATTGATGGATGGTTTAAAAATCATTAATTAAGGATAATTATTATTAATTAAGACTGTTTAGATATATTACTTCTCTTAGATTTATTTCTATTGTAAATTTTTAAATGAGTTAATAATGGAGTAAAGATAATGATATATATGTATATATACTATATAACAGAGGAAAAAATATATTTTGGGGCGATTGCGGTATCGACTATCGAAAAGATATGTTGTTATACTACTTTAAATCGGGATACTATTATCACCATACTTTATTATTATTATCAAATGGTATTACAATAATTAAATTAAAAATTTTAAATGTTACTATTACCGCATATGTTTCATTTTCATTAATCACATATAAATGTTAGTGATTTGCTTTCAGAGTAATGTTTCTCAGTTTAAAAGGTTCATTAAAAATGTTTGTAGGACATTTCTGTTTGATATATGTAAACATTAATTAATCGTCTTCGAAATAACTCCGTTGAAACGCGTACACTTGCACATGTGTTATGACATTTTTGAAAGCATTGGAGGACACCTTGTTTGGTATGCGACTAGATAAGACATCGAGTGGGCCCACTAGCGGCCGAGCGGCAAAAATAGCTGGACATTGATAGTTCCAACCCGAGTTCAATTAGAGGCGAACGGGCTGGATGCATGTTCATTTTAATGGTTTTTCCCATGTGTAACGTATATAAGAGCCTGTTTCCTTCAGAAGGACCTCTAAGAAGGCAGCCCTCCTCTTAGGCACATAGCCATAGTGCTCTTTCTAATAATCAACTTAAACCGAATCTTTAGACATCTAGTGTTTTTTGAATAGTTTGAATTATCTGGAAACATCTATTCCGTAGAATTATTTTGATGGGAAAAACATCAAATGGTAAAATTTGACGAATGAAGGCGCAATTATTGTATTATCGAGATATGATTTTGATCAATAGAAACTAAACTCCTTTATTCAAATCGAACATTTTCCCAGAAGATCAAAAGATGCGTCTCCGCTTGTACTGTGACATAAACTATGCAGTTCCAATTGATGTCACTTCATAGCGTTTACAAACCATGCACTACCGTTTTCTGAAACTAAAATTTAATTAATATATATTTTGGGTACGTTATATAAAGATTCAAAAAACATTTTATTTAGAATAAAGCATAAATAATAGTGTTATTTATATGCAATATATATCACTTAGAATGGTCAACTGCATATTCAAAAAGCTACTCATAGTTGAACTCACCCGTTCTTGGCGAAATTAGTCCAGTACGTCATTACAGCTCTTGCTAAAGAATATTCAGATCTGGTGTAATTAGCGCTAAAATGTGATAAACTGGAGACGAGAGGAGCTCCAAAAATGTAATTCATTTCCTCTCCCGAGACACAACCCATTCTTGGAGAATAGTCACTCTCTTCTGTTTGGTGATCAAAGACATAGAAAAATGTTTTTGATGTGTGAGCCATTGAATGGTAATTTCCGGCTTTGAGCATAGGTGCGACCGTTAGGACATCGGAGAGTGCATCGACGGTGGTCTCAAATATATTTAGTGGATGTTGTTCTGGATGCAGCCAGTCTGTATACTCATTAAGGATGGTTAGATATATCTCCTGAAGATGAAATGTGAACACATTGCGAACTAATGTTCTAAAAATTCGATCCCTTCGAACTGAGTCGATGCCGAACTTTTCCTCATGTGCTGAGAATCTGAAGTAAGATTCCACACGCGTCACACCAAACAACAAGTCATACTGCCCGTAAAGATCCTTGTAGTTTTTCATTAAGACGGCAGGTTCATTAGGGATGACAATGCCATCGATGGTAGGACCAAAAGCTGTCAGGTAATCGGGAACATCCAGCTGAACTCTCATGATATCCGTTATGGAACGCTGCCTAATGCAATCCACAAGAGCCGTGTTGTCACGGGTTGGACAATCCAAAACTGATGCCAAGTATCTTGTGTGAGTTGCTGCATCGCGAGCCAGTGCCCATGGACTGAATGCTGAACCACTCTGCATGATGGCTCTTTGGAATAGGCCTAAATTTAAAGAAAGTAAAAAAAAAAAAAAAAAAAAAAAAAAAACAGCAAATAATCATTCAATTTTAATTCATTGTAGGAGCAGTTAAACGCAATTACTTTACACAATTTAAAAAAATAATTTTCTGAGTTACTAGGCTTTATTTCGATAGGTATATAAATAACAAGCCAGTACAAGAGAATTGGCATAAAATGTAACTGAAATATATTCATACAATTAAAAGTTATTTTCGAATCGTAATTTCATACATTTTTAGGCTTTATTAATGTAACACTGATTATATATTGTTGTATTGTATATTGTTGTAGAATATATATTGCTGTAGTATATATATTGTTGTAGATTATATATTGTTGTAGAATTTAAATTTTGTATAGTAAGTACTTTATAGCTTAATAGCTTTGATCTTAATAGATCAAACCAGAAAGAAAATTTTCACCAAAGACAAATAATTCACAAGATTTATCGGATAATTGGTTTTAGTTCAAATATAGCGTATTAGATTAGAAGCGCTCAAATTTAAGCTATCTGTAGCTTAAAGCATTCGGCAATTTATCTTTTATAAGTAGGGAATTTTTTTAATTCTTTGAATGATTGTTTTTCTTATTTTCTGTTTAGTAAACAATACTCATATTTCATTAAAAAAAATTAATGAAATAAAGTTTGTATCCTGACTTTACACTAGGGAAAGGTTTAATTAAATTAAAAAAAATAGTGTTAATGTTTGGAAGTTATTATTATCTGTATTTTAAAGTTGTCCGCACTGTTTGTGTATTAACTTTGTGGAATATTTCATAATATATAAAATAATGAAAGGTAAATGATAAAAGTTTAAAATTTACCAGTTTTGAGAACTTATCTTTATAAAAAATTTTAATTAATTAATGTTGTTAGAAATTAGAGTTCTATCTTAGAACTTAGAAACCTTAGCAAATACAAATTTAGATTGAATTGTTTTTTTAATTTCATAAAAATGAATTTTTGAAAAATCAAAAACTTGAAGAAAAAATTTATTTTATTGAGAAAGCACATAAATTCAAACTTATTATAAGAACTAGAACGATCGCATTGATGTTTGGATGCACTAATTTCATAATACACAAATATGATTTCTTAATTTTCAGTTTATATTTAATTCTTAAAAAAGGTCCTTTTATTATTGTGCCAAACTGACTATGATTTTTACTGAAACATAGTGAGAAATCGCAGTTTTGTTTCCCTAGTATTCGTACAATTTTTTTAACTGTGTTTTAGATCATTTTGTGTAACAGAAAATATCCACCAGGAACTCTACTTAGTTTTTCTTATCATATTTAAATTTCGTAATTTTTATGCAGTTTAACATGTTTGAGGTATCAATAGACTAATCGAAATCCCAAAGTGGTAGCTTTGGATTTTGGAAGAAATTTTTATAATTTACGCCAGATGCCCAGGCGATATGATGGTTCAGTGACTCTGGCTAAAATATTGAATGGCCCGGGTTCGAAGTTATGTGTGTTTCAAAGCGTATAATATCTGTAAAGCAAGGAAACACTTAAAATACGTTGTGAGACGAAATTCCCTCGAGACGTTGGTGGAAGATCAAGAATGGTGGCAAACCCTGAGACTGTCCCTCTGGGTGTTCTTCCCTGGAATCTCAACAATTCGCTTGGGGTGAACGCATAGCATGGCTCTAAGATAAATAATATATACCAACGGGAATAAATAAATGCTGGCCTAGCCTCAACATATACTTGTATGAATAAGTTGAGTTACCATCCTAATCGTTACTGTGGTTAGTGCTTCTAGCTGTTGTATCGTTGAGCTCGGGCTCGAATCTGGAAAGGCATGAGTTCGAGAGTGTCCATTCGAATTCTGGAGAAGTGTCTATGCAGCAACAATACACGTTAATCGGGAGTGGCTGCTGGTACGGAAAGAGCGATGAGACATCTTGTGATCCACGCCAAGTGTGTTCTCCACCAAAATTGGGGCGGACCTTAATGCGGCAGGACTAAACTCCGCCCAAAATTTGATGAAGTTAGTGCGGCAGTTTTTATCCCTTGACAACACGTTACTCATCTGTAAGACCATGTTGCTCCCTATTATTACTTATGTCTGTCCCGTCTCGGTTTTTGTATGTAAAACCACGTTTAAGAGACTGCAAATTAATCAAAATATTACACTACGTCAAACTGTTCGTGCTCGCGGGTTCTACCGAAATTCAACTATACACAAACAGCTTGGCATAAAACCTATTACTGTATTTATTTCAAAAATTTCTAAAAAAATATTTAACAGAATTCTTAGACGTTTAGACTGATTATTGAATTCATTTGTCGTGCTTTTATTTTATTTTACTTGTATGGTTTCATAACACGTTATTCCTGTTTGCGTTAGCATTTGTATTTTATTATTTGGAACAAAGCCTGTAGTTTTCTGTGTTCTGGTGCTTTACTTGCTTTCAGCCAATACTTAAGCTTCCGCCAGCCAATCATTAAACCTTTAATCACGTGCACCATTTAACCCATCTCATCGCTAGCACTTTTCTCTCTATGCTTTTAATGCAAGCTTCGACATCGACAGACCTGCTTCATTTCGTATATCCTTTATTACGAACATTTTGCCATCGTGTTTTCACCTTACAAGGAACTGCAACAAGGGCTATTCTGCTTATTATACGTTATCATAGTATTTATATTTTATGTTTTCATGCTACGTTTATCACATATCGTGTTAGCCTGGGATAGGGCTCCGGAACACGAGTTTCGTGGCCTCTGACATTCTGACAGTACCATTCTGACAATAATTTGCAAGTATCAGAAAATTCTTGTTTACATTTATCAAAATGATATTTCAGAGTTGCAGCTAATAAATATGGACTTGGTTTTAGTCCAAATAAAACTCTACTAAAGTTCATTTCTTGATATGAATTAGAACCGATATCATCAGTCCAGAAGAATCTAGTAAATTTTCTGTCACTAGTATCGATCAAAATTTGTAGATACGCTTGCTTTATATCCGCTGTGAAGGCTATTGTATTTTGTAGAAACTTTAAAATCACTTCAAATAGATTTGGATACAAGTTTAGTCCTTTAAATAAACAGTCATTAATTGAAAGTTGTCCTCCTTCATGAGAAGAACCATCAAACACGATTCGAAGTCGACTAGTAGATTTGTCCTCGCGAATGACCGCGTGGTGGGGTAAGTAGAATGACTGCTCAGAATATGACACTTCAGTATCTGACGACGAATTCTCAATGATACCTTCCTTACGATAATCATCAATTACCTTTTTGTAATCCTCATAAAAAGCTGTATCATTTCTAAATCTCCTAACCAGACCATCGAAACGTTTCCGAGCCACTTCTCTATTATTTGCTAATTTCTCCTGCATACCTGGTTTCCACGGCAACTTTACACAATACCTTCCATCTACGAACCCAACAGAATTATTAAATTCATCAAGTATCTCCTGTTCCACTAAAGTCAAACACTCCGCTTCCTTGTTTTCAATACCTAAACTTTCTAGTTCCCAGAAACGCCTGAGTTCAGCTGATACAGTGCTTTGATCACCTAAAACTAAGTTTACAGCAGCCGTTTTACTCATATCACCACAATTTCCCTGCAAGGACCATCCAAGTTCTGTGTTTACAGCTACCAAAGACCTATTTAACCTTTCAAAACCTTTTGTCAAATTCCAATAAAAATCTATACCTATTAACAAGGAAATTTCATTATCACCTGACGCTTGATTAAAACCCACGTTAAAGTTAATCCCTTGGCTTCCATTTCAGCTCTTGTACTCTCATTTGGCAAATTAATCGCCGCCCTCGAAATTTCATCTGTTTCCAACGCCTGTATTACGACTTCTTTTCCATCTAAAATATTTCGCAATGTCACTTCAACTCTGCGACATGTTTGCAACCTAGGATCCTTTGCTCCAAATGAATAAATCTTTAATGTTTCTGACCCTAGACATTTTAATCCCAACTTCATAGATACATTTCTTTTAATAAAACTCTTCTCACTACCGTTATCAAACATTGCAATAACTATACCTGACGATTTACGACCAGCAATTTCTGTCCTAACACACTGCAATAAAATCACATTCCTATCATTTACAACTGAATTCGAAATAGTAGGCTGAATTTCCATTTCCTTTGGTTTTTCTTCTTCCGGTTTTGTATTAGATTTACACTTGCTAGAATTTTCAAATTTAAAACAAATAGCTTTGGCGTGTCTACCAAAGCAGAATGAACACTGTTTAGCATTACATTTTTTCACAAAACAGTTTGTGTTACAACATAACAGACATCTCCTTTCCTTAATTAATTTATCCCTTTTTTGCTGTACAGTCATGTTTTCACATTTAGTCTTACAGTGACAAACAAACTTCGGAAGTTTTCGCCATAAATTCTGTTACTGACGCGTGTTGATTATTGCGACTCGGAGGGAAGTTTCGTTTCTGATTTCGAAAATTGTTTTGTTTATGTTGGTTAGAATGAAAATTATTATATGAAGATACATTATTAGAATTAATACGGAATGCCTTTTCTCTTGCACTAATAGCATTGTGTAAAAACTTCATCAATTCCTGTAAATCATGACAATTATTTATATTTTGCTTCGAAAATTCAAGAGTCAATTCTCCTCTCCTGGCAGATTTTTTAGTATTATGTTAGTCAGTATTGTTGTGTATGTTTGACATTTAATTCCTCTAAACATCTAATATGAGTTTGGGCTTCAAAATAAAGGTTACGAAGGGCCTGAATGTTAGAAGCATTTTTACAGGTGCCAGATTTAATAAATTTGACAAGTGAGCATTTATTAAAATGTCTCTTTGGCCAAATGTTTCAGAAATTAATTTAACAGCCTGTTTATAATTCTCTGGAGTAATTGAGAATCCTTTAATGCTAGCTAAGGCTTTACCACCTAATAACGACTTTAAATAGCAAAATTTATCAACCTCAGTTAAATTAGAATTATTATGTACAGAATTCTCAAACTGATTCCAAAA